TCACCGCTAAGCATCCACTCTCAAATACCATCTTAAATGATTTCCTTCAGTTCTATTTACAGATATTGTTCTTGAAACTGTTCCATCTAATGCTCAAGTCTCTATACTATAAATTCTTAATATTTCTGAACTACCACGTTACAGCAATCTAATTCTCCATCCAAAAAATATTCTTGGTTTGTCATTCTATAGCCAAGCATGGGGTGTGTCTAGTAGTGGAGTTTCTGCCTTGGGAAAGGGTCTTAGTTTCTTTGCTTTGCTGAGGCTTGTCATGACTGTTTAGTCTTACATTTGCTTCTCTATTTTAATCTGCATTGCAGGGAGAGCATACACCAATTATGGTAGTTGCATTCTAGTTTTTCTTCTCAATTATTTGATACCATAATGTGGACAAGATTCATAACTGCCGAATGAGTTTGAGGAGAGACTATGTTTCAGAATTTCAGGCCATGTGGTTCAATTCTCATTATTTCTCATTATTTCTCATTCTTATCCAAGATGAAATTCTAAAATGGAAAAGAATGGGTAAAAATAGACAGAATGAGAAAATATTGCTATGAACCAAACACTTATTTCCTAAAAATGAATTATTTTCAGACTGACAAGTGTCTTATGTTGTTCATTTTCATTCTTAAAAAAAAAATGTATTGATATTCACAAACTGCCATCCTAGGTCTCCAATAGTCAATGTTTACTAATTGGCATAGATGTTTTGTAAAAGTACTTTCGTAAAAGTTATTTTATAAAATTACTTTCGTAAAAATGCTTTTATAAAAGCGCTTTCCAAAAAGTGCTTTTATACTTTCATACAAGTGCTTTCATAAAAGTACTTTTGTAAAAGTATTTTCATTAAAGTGCTTTCGTAAAAGTACTCCCACAAAAGTACTTTTGTAAAAGTACTTTCATAAAACTACTTTCGTAAAAGTACTTTCATAAAACTACTTTCGTAAGTCCTTTTATAAAAATGCTTTCGTAAAAGTGCTTTTGTAAAAGTGTTTCCGTAAAAGTACTTCCATAAAAGTGCTTTTGTAAAAGTACTTCCGTAAAACTGTTTTTATAAAAATACTTGAAGGGCAGTTGTGTCTTTTCAAATGCCACTTAACAATTGGTTAATTGATTAGAGGAATTGATAAGAGTCCCATTCTCAACACAAGAACCAAAATGACACCTTGGTCCCCTTGGTCCTTGGTCCAAAGTATGGGGTACTAATTGGGAATTTTCCCTTATAAAGATGGTGGTTTAATATAAAATCGACCTCATTACTCAAGACTCAGCCAAGAAGAAAATTTTCATATAGAATAGTAATACAGTTAACTTATACTGTTGTACAGACTACAGAGTGAGCATGGGCGTTCAATTCCAGTCATAACTTATACTGTTATACAGACTACAAGTCAATTCCTGTCCCCAATAATCATTGACAGAGCTACGAACTCATTTATGGAATTTGCTTTGAGTTTTGACAGTAATTCAATGAATGATCCTAGTAAACAATTCAACCCAGTGAAGTGGATGAAATAGGAATTTTGATGCTTCTTGCATTAACAATTAATTTTGATGCTTCTTGCATTAACAATTAATGCACCATTGCTTGTCTGGCTGGAAACCACTTTGGTCAGATTTTGAACTTCAAAGCCTATGAAATAGGAATTATGACTATTAATCTTGCTGAAGCTTGGGTTGTTTGGGAAGCCCACAATCTCACCCTCAATTTCAACGAAAAATTCAGCATCATTGAAGGAGATTCAAAGTTAGTTATTGAAAGTTTGAAGAGCCAAGTGGACCCTCTATGGAGACTTAGAAGGATCATCAAAGGTTGCAGGTCTTTGGTCAAGAGGATGGACGACTTCATCAAGTATGATCACACTTATCAGGAAGGAATTCGAGTTGCTGGTTGGCTTGCTAACTATGCTCATTCCAATCATATTTCTTACCTTCGTTGACTTATTTCTTAAAGGTTATATCTTGTGCTGACATCTGGGGAAGAGCTACCCCCGCCATGTGTGGCTCCTCTTTTCTTGTTTTTATCAAAAAAAAAATTCAAGTCATGACGTAAGGAAATTGATAAAAATGATAAAGAAAAGTTCCCCTTAGCCTCTAGTGAGGAGTTTGGAGTTGCTTATCAGAGTTGGCAGATCCTCGATTGTTGATTCTCATTGCTGATTAGAGCAGATAGCCATCAGATAATTTGAAGGCCAACCACTAAAGTTGAGCAAGATAGGCAACCCATGAACCAATTGTTGTCCGGATCTGCTCTTCATAGAGCACACCTCACAGCATGTCTTGGCCGCACATCAAGAACATCTTCTATACTTATATTTATTATTCATGGAGAGATGTTCTCAATACATGGTGGAATGTGGCTAGGAGGTTGGTGTGAGGAGCAGATCCCAAGGAAAGACATAATGAAGCAGATGCATATATGTCAACCTACGAGTATACTACTTTAGTGGGGCTAAGGCCTGATCTAAAAATTTATGGGCCTCAAGTGGCCCAGACCTAGGCCTATACTAAACATAAAACCCAAACCTGGGCCCGAGACCAGAAATTTGCAAGTTAGGCCTATCTTTGTTAGGTTGATGAGTCATTGTTTGTAGGAATGATATATTTTAGGGTAAATTACAAATAGGTACCATGTACTTGGGAAGTAATGATACTTAAGGTCTCTAACTTTTAAGTGTGACATTTTACCCTAAACTTTTAGAAATATACACTTGAGTTTGGCTCTGATAAAACTAATATTACATTGATGATGAAATTACAGAAATACCCATATTCAGATTTTTTTTAATTGTTTTTCATTGTTCCATTCAAATGCTTTTATTCTTTGTTGAAAAGAAGTATAGAGATGGTTTCATATGGAAAAAAATGAGTCAGATAAAAGTTCACTGAGCAAAAGAGAATCTAAACATGGACGTTTTTGTAATTTTCTCTCATTGTAACAGAGTTGGACTTAAATTAATGTATATTTCTAAAAGTTCAAGGTAACAAAAAGTGCTTTATACTTTCATAAAAGTGCTTTTGTAAAAGTACTCCCATAAAAGTACTTTCGTAAAAGTACTTTCATAAAAGTACTTTCGTAAAAGTGCTTCCATAAAAGTACTTCCATAAAAGTACTTCAATAAAAGTGATTTTATAAAAGTACTTCCATAAAAGTACTTCCATCCTAGTCATTTGTTAGAGCTATCATTTGCTTCCATGTGTCTTATATAAATTGAGGGTTCTACCACTACTTACATGCTATATCCCAACTTTCAGTGCTTAATTTTTCTTCTAAACTTGCTCTCCATTGTCTAGTACTTTTTGGTTTGGCTTAAACTGCCAAGAATGGACACTCCATGCGTCTCTTCTTTGGCTAATCTTCTCATTTAGTGGTTTATTGTTGCTTGAGCCTCATCCTCAGTGCCCTTATCTCATTCAGATCCTTCTTTGGCCACTCTAGTATCCTTATCAACCACATTGCTATGTCGCACAAGGCTCTTGTTTGCCCATGCCATGTACAAGTGAGTTAACTATCCAAGAAGCAACATTTGTAAGAATATTGTAACTCACTTGTATAACAGCCTGTTCCTATACTTGTAACTCACAAACTCACAATGCCCTTGTTTATTCATCCATTATGCTAGAAGGTCCTTGCATTTCACTTGTATAATTTAACTGAGGAAATTAAGTAAAAGGTTGTTTGGAGAAGCTTAAAAATAAATGAAAAAAATTTGTTTATACAATATGTTTTACTCTACTTAAGAAACAACATTTATTGATAAGTTATTGGTATATGCATGAGTGGTGCCCAGTAAATGTGTAAGTGGGACCTACAAGTAATATTTGTATGTGTTAATGAGTCCCGCAAATAACACTTAACATGTATGTAAGAGGAACCAACACGTATGTTTGCCAAACGATCTTTCGGTCTTTCTAGCTTTTGAAAAGATCTTTAAAAAATTGCAACCAAACGGTCTTTGGTCTTTGAAGATCTATTTGTGAAAACTCATCAATCTTTTAAAGTTTTGAGCTTTTGAAAGATCTTCCTAAAAAGACTTGCCAAATGCTTGTCTCGAGAACGTATGGAAAGATTGTTTGTTTCATGCTCGATCGGATTGGAAGGAGTACAAATACAAGAATATATATGTACAGTGCAAAGTTTTGTATTTTGTATTTCTAACCCTAAACCTATATTTGTACTGTACATATTACATATTTATATTTGTAGTACTCTTTCCAAACTGATTCTAACACTTGGAACAATATAAGTGTTAATTAATAACCTTAAATTATATGTTTAAGTAGAACAAGCTTTGAAAGTCTGTTATAGTGTTATAAACAAATAATAAGTTGATTGCTTGGTGCTCATAGAGGGATTCCTTAGTAAAACACACCACTGAAAATTTTCGTTTTGGCCCCGGTACGAAGGAGCTTCAAAGATCAAATTAAACAAACCCTACCTAATTTTGGAGGGACCAAGTTGATTTGTCTATTAAGGCTTACATGCATGGTCTCTCCGCACAATGCAACGCTGGAACTCCAAGGTTTTGTTGTATATAGGGAAAACTATGGTCCAGTCAATAAATTCTATAGGAAACGTGATTGGATACTGCTAACAGATAAAACTTTTGGATTACATAAACCAAAATTAAAGAAATTAATACAACAACCTCATTGGCATGAGCAATATCCACTGTCTCCTTCTCCGTGGTGTTCTCATTTCTGTTCTATTTAGGGAGATAAGATGGAAGTTCTTTGTTACAAAACTTTTTAATTCAAATAGATGCTCAAATTTTGTAGAACGATATCTATCTATCTATCTATCTATCTACCAGATCGGCTTCAATCAGTTCAAAGTCCATTCGAACACTGTTCGAACAGCCATCATAGCCTTGCATTGGGAATATCTCCCCATGAAATAAAGCATAGAAGTATGGAGATGTTCCGAATGCAAGGCTATCATGGCTGTTCGAATGGGCTTTGAACTGATTGAATCCGGTTTCTCTATCTACATATCTTCACCTGGGTCCTGACAGAACTGAAGGCATGTAAGACCTAGTTACTTCTGCTGCTGCTACTGGTAGAGCTGATGAGAAGCTATAGTCTAAGTTTGGTTCGACATCCATCACGCCTTCTAAGACCTTCACCACCACAGACATGGATGGCCTTCTGGTAAAATCAATTTGTAAACACCATGCTGCAAGTCTCATCATTTCCACAACTTCCTCTCCATGCAACTGCATATCCTCACTGTGTTTGTCAATCATATCAGCTAGTTTCCCCTCCTCTGCCTTCCTTTTGAACTGACCAATTAAATGTATACCATCCTTTGGTTGAGAATGATCCAAATTTTTTCGTCCACACAAAATCTCCATGACAACAACCCCAAAGCTATACACATCTACTTTTTCTGTGATCACTGAACTCAACCATTCAGGAGCCAGATACCCAGGAGTCCCTCTCATTGTCGTCACAACTTGGCTCTGATTCCTATCAATAAGCTTAGACAACCCGAAATCAGAAACCTTGGCATTGAAGTTCTCATCCAAGAGGATATTTTGAGGTTTAATATCCAAATGGATTATTCTCTGTCGGCATTCTTCATGGAGATAGGCTAGTCCCTTGGCTATGTCGAAGATAATATTCAATCTGGTTTGCCAACCAAGGGAAAACTCCTGTTTTTGGTTGAAGATCCATTTGTCCAAAGATCCATTGCACATGTACTCATAAACCAAAAGCCTGTGTGATTTCTCAGAACAGTATCCTATTAATCTCACTAAATTCACATGGTGAATGCTGCCAATCGTCTCAACCTCTGCTAAGAATGATTTCTTCACTTCGCCTAGACCTTCTAAGCACTTCACAGCAACTTTGGTACCATCGCCCAGAGTCCCTTCATAAACTGATCCAAATCCTCCTTCCCCAACCTTCCTTGAAAAATTTTCAGTCATGTCTTTCAATTCCTCGTAGGAAAATCTCATGGGCATTCCTGGTACATGATGCAAATCATCCTCCTCACCTTCATCAGCATCTCTTATGTTCCTATATAGAATAACCCAGATGCTAAAACCCAGTAAAACCAAAAAGAAAGCTCCAAGACTGGATCCCAAAGTGATTGCTATCTGGCTTCTTTTCTTTTTTGATGAGGATTTCTGCACCTTAATGAATGCAAATGCACTATAATTAGTGATTTGCTTATTGTTGGCCATGAGGGAGAAGAGCTTGGCTGGTAAAGAGCAATTCCCTATTGAAGCATTTTCATAATACTGAAAGAAAGCAGCTTTGCAGGAACAGTTCTTCAAACAAGACTGTTTGCAACTCTCCATACTTGTATCTGTAATATCTGGACAGTAAGCAGCATTAGTGAAGTAAGTAACGTCGTTGAGCTTTAGAAAAATGTGAGATTGAGAAGATGGCAGGCAAGATAAAGGAGTAATTTCAGAACACCCCTTGTTTGGTTGCGTCTCTTCTAATGGCGTAAAATAGCTTGCCTCTCCATCAGTTCCTTTGGGACAACTACACTGTCCATATGAGCAAAGACCATAATTCCCACAGATCGTGGGATAACCACATATTCCTAAATCCATTTTGTCCGTCAGCACATCCTTCACCGGCTGCCAACCATCTAACCAATCCCAAGCACTCAAAAAGCCATCTGGAGTGAACCGCAGGCGCGATGCTGGAGGAGAAACACGCGTTTCATTTTTCTCGCTTGAGTACATGGTAATACCTCCTTTCGAGAATATCACATAGCTCAGTTTTCCAGGGAGCGAGTGTTGGAAATAAACCTGCGGAGGATCCGACTCGACGAAAGCAAATATACCTTCACTAGTAACAGAAATTGAAAACAAACCTCGACTCCAATTCGTCCAAGAGACACTAGCCGTGAGTCTCTGCCCGGCCACCATCTTCTGCCCAGGGACCAAGGTGTCTGTTGGGTGATCAAAAGACTGCCAGATGGTTCGGTTCGTTTTGTCGAAGAGCACCAGATTTCCTATCTTGGTCATCTTCAATCCAACGACGGGCTTTCCAGCTGTGTTAGTTGACCAAACCAAACTATCATCGAAGTCTCGCAAGATCAAATCTCCATCTGCAGTGAGGTTCAACGTTGCATTTGCTCCGACGGGCTTATCCCGGTTGGCAGACCAGACTGGTTCACTCTCCTCCAGTATAGCCATGCCGGTAACATTGTCGATTGGGACAACCAAGACAGCGAAGAGGAACGAAGTGCAATTACCATTGCAATAGAAGCCACAGGCGAAACGAGGATTCTGATCAATTCCTGTGATGAGAATGGGACTCACCAATACCTTGTACCCACTGTCGTATACCACAGAATGGGCATTAGAGGTGATGTTGGTCCAGGAACTGTTGAGATTGGCCGTTGAATTATCTAAAGCTTGCCCGTTGATCAAATAGCAAGAAGAGAATAGAAGAAAGAGAAGACAACCCATGATCTTGCTAATATCCATTGTCAATGCTGATAAGCAGATTAAAGTGCTTCCAAATCGAAAGAAAAAAGTATCTCAAGTAACGCCAAAATAAATGAGAGAGGAAGCGGAAAACAGAGATGTATGTAGAAGGTTTAATCAAGTTTGAAATTGTTACAGGCTATGAAGCCTGGTAAAGCGTTGAATATTTGATATAACTTGTATGAAATCAACCAGCCATTAAAATTTTCAAGTGCTGCCATACATAATATTAATTTTATATATGGCCCCTTGTGCCTCATATGTCTAAAGTCAACTAGATAATTCAAATTCCAAATGCCCATCCTGGTATTAGAGAAAATGAAAGCAAAACTATGAAAAATCAAGCTGTTGGTTTTGGTTATTCCTTCGTTTAATTTACATAAATAATTATAATTAGGGAAAATTGCTGATTAGTACCTCGTACTTTGGGCTAGCTTAGTGTCACTTTGGTCCTTGAATTTAAAACGCAATAATTCAATACTCAAACTTTTAAAATGTGTCATTTTGGCACCTAATTGTTAATCAGTTGTTAAGTGGCATTTGAAAAGACACAAATACTCTTCAAGTGTCACCTAATTTTCTTTATCAATCATCCAAACATTGACAAAAAATTAACAGTTGATTCCAAATCCTTGCCTCTTCTATTCAAGAAAGTTGGGGTCACTAGAATGCCCATTAAGATGTGGCCCAAACTTTCTAGAATAGAAAAGACAGACGTTTGGGACTATTCCTTTTTTTGTCAACGTTTGGGTGGTTGATAAAGAAAATTATATAATACTTGAAGGGCATTTGTGTCTTTTCAAATGCCACTTAACGACTGGTTAATGGTTAGGTACCAAATTGGCACATTTTAAAAATTCAGGTACTGAATTGTCACATTTTAAAGTTTAGAGACCAAAATGGCACTAGTCCCAAAGTACAGAGTACTAATTGGGAATTTTCCCTTACAAAGGTGGCGGTTTAATATAAAATCGATCTCATTACTCAAGACTTAGCGAGGAAGAAACTTTTCATATATAATAGTAATACATTTAACTTATATGTACAGACTACAAGTCAATTCCTCCCCCCATAATCATTGATAGAGCTAGAAACTCATTTATGGAATTTGCTTCGAGTTTTGATAGTAATTCAATGAATGATCCTAGTAAACAATTTATCCTAGTGAAGTGGATAAATCCAAAACTTGATGAAATCAAAACAAATTTTGATGCTACTTGCATTAACAACCGATGCACCATTGCTTGTGTGGCCAGAAGCCACCTTGGCCAGATTTTGGACTTCAAAGCCTATGAAATAGGAATTATGACTATTAATCTTTCTGAAGCTTGGGCTGCCTGGGAAGCTCACAATCTCACTCTCAATTTCAACAAAAAATCCATCAAAGGTTGAAGAGCTAAGTGGACCTCTCCCAGGAGACTTAGAAGGATCATCAAAGGTTGCAGGTCTTTGGTTAAGAGGAAGGATGGCTTCATCGAGTATGGTCACACCTATGAGGAAGGTAATCGGGTTGCTGATTGGCTTGCTAACTGTGTTCATTCCAATCATATTTCTTATCCTTCGTTGCCCTATTCCTTAAAGGTTATATCTTGTGCTAACATTTGGGGAAGAGCTACCCCCACTATGTGTAGCTCCTCTTTTCTTGTTTTTATCAAAAAAATAATCTAGTCATGACGTAAGGAAATTAAAAAATGATAAAGAAAAGTTCCCCTTAACCTCCGGTGCGGAGTTTGGAGTTTCTTATCAGAGTTGGCAGATCCTCGATTGTTGATTCTCGTTGCTGATCAGAGCATATAGCCATCGGATAATTTGAAGGCCGACCACTAAAGTTGAGCAAGATAGGCAACCCATGAACTAGTTGGTGTCCATTGTATAATTAAACCTAACAAAAGGTTCAAAGGGAGTCTAGATCTACTCTTCATTGAGCGCACTTCGCACTGACCTCACAGCATGTCCTGGCCGCACATCGAAAACATCATCGAGAACATCTTCTGTACTTATATTTATTATTCATGGAGAGATGTTCCCAATACAAGGAGGAATGTGGCTAGGAGGTCGGTGTGAGGCACACTCTATGGGGAGCAGATCCCAAGGAAAGACAAAATGAAGCAAATGCATATATCTATCTATCTATCTATCTATCTATCTATATATATATATTGGCTAAGATTGAAGTGGGGCTAAGGCCTGATTTAAAAATTATGGGCCTCATGTGGGGTCAAACCTGGGCTTATACTAAACATAAAACCCAAACCTGGGCCCAAGACTAGAAATTTGCAAGTTAGGCCTATCTTTGTTAGTCATGATGTGTCATTGTTTGTATAAATGATATTTTTTAGGGTAAATTACAAATAGGAACCATGCACTTGGAAGTAGTGATACTTAAGGTCTTGAACTTTTAAGTGCGACATTTTAATACCCTAAACTTTTAGAAATATACACTTGAGTTTGACTCTGATAAAACTAATATTATATTGAGGATAAAATTACAAAAATACCCACATTCAGATTTTTTAATTGTTTTTCATTGTTCCATTCAAATGCTTTTATTCTTTGTTGAAAAGAAGTATGGAGATAGTTTCATATGGAAAAAAATGAGTCAAATAAAAGTTCAAAGAGAATCTAAACATGGGCATTTTTGTAATTTTCCCTCATTGTAACATCATTTTTTTTTGCATCGTGACATCATTTTTAACAGAGTTGGACTTAAATTAATGTATATTTCTAAAAGTTGAAGGTACTAAGGCTATGTTTGGTTTGAAGAAAAAAGTAGAGAAAGACCCTACCTTTCCCTTCCTTTCCCTACTTTTTCCTTCAAACCAAACACAACTTAAATGTTTCACTTGAAAGTTCAGGCCCTCAAGAGTCATTACCCCCAAAGTACAAGGTGCCTATTTGTAATTTACCCTATTTTTTATTTACTGGGCTAGGCTGGGGCTGCATCTGAATCTCAGTTAGATATCCACGAATCGGCCAGTTTGGTTTGGATTTAGCTCTTTTTCAGAAATTCTTAGAGGTAGTCTTTGCCTAATTAAAATAGTGCTATCGTGCTAAATCCACAAACAGCTAATTTCACAACCTTAAAGGCTAAAAACACCCATATGTAATAGTATGTTGCTGGTAATGCGATAACAATATCTTCAATACTATGTTTTATGTACTGTACTATGTATAAAGGTAAATGCTTATATACGTGTGCAAGTAAAGAATAAAGACATAATGGAAAATTACTTATATACCCTTTTAAAAACGTAATTATATATATGTACCTTGTTGATGTTTCAAACATTAAGTCTAATAGATAATACTTAAAGGACAATAGTGTCCTTAACTGTTTATTAAATTTTTAAAACATGCCATTCTCTACCTTCTCTTCTTCTTTTCTTTTTTCCTCCCCTTCCTCTCCGTCTTTCTCCTTTCAATTTTTTTTTCATCATCTAGTTTTTTTAGGTGTGTCCCTTGTAAAAAAATTAAAATAAATTTGATATCTCCTCATTTACTTTTACTTACAAGCAATGAAGGAGAGAGAGAGAGAGAGAGTGAGAGAACAATTGGGAAGCAAGTCGCCATGGGAGGAAAAGAGAAGAAGATGAAGGTAAAATGGGATTATGAAAAAAATAATAAGCATATGTAATGGCCCTAAATATTTTCTTAACATATGGCCTATTTGCATATATGATATGATATGTCGATTTAACTTTGGATAAATTATTTAAACATCCCCTATAGTTTTCTAACAACTGTTTTAACATTTCCTAAGTCTTGATCTCTCAAAAATCTCTCTCCACATTTCAGATAAGTTGTGCCAATAAACCCCATTTCATAGTGAATGATTAGAGGATTTTTTTTTTCGAGTAAAACCGATTTCTCCCCTCTCCCTCCCTCTCACCAAATCTCTGCTTGTTTTTGTTTTTTCATTGATGATATTTTTGCATTGTTATTGTTATTATATTATTTGTGAATGGAGATATAAGGGTAACTTTATAATTTAACACTCCTTATCTATTCAAACTAATCAAAAGGATAAATTTATATATTTATCCAAAATGTAAAGGGGGATTTTGGAGAGATCAAAGTTCAGGGGAGGTTATACAAGGGAGGTTTAAGTAACTTACCTAATGATCTACACCAGAATTAGGCCAAGTATTGGCATTATATGGTATGAATAGATATACATATGCATGACTACCACACTATAGTACAAAAATATAATATTGTAGATTTTATTATCATATTATCAGTAATGACATGTAAATGAGTAATAATGGAACTGTAAATCAAGATATACTTAGAATTGGAAAAATCAAACAAAGATGGAAAAACTATTTTGAAAAATTAATAAATGAATAACAGAGAGTGCTAATGTAGGAAAATCTAAGAATACTAGTAGTGTTAAAAACCTTTATAGAGTTAGACCTATTGAAATAAAAGATGCACTAAATAAGATGAAGAAAAAAACATTAGGACCTAATGGGATTTCAATAGCTAGAAGTATGGAAAAGTATAGGAGTGGTAGATTTGTTATGATAAGAAAGATATTTAATAAGATAGTAAAAGAAAAGAAAATGCCTAATGATTAGAAAATAATGGTATAGTGCCTATATTTTATGAATAAAATATAATGATTAGAAAATGCCTATATTAAAGTTATGAATCATACTATAGTACACATTGGAGGGGCTTGAAGAGCTCAAGGTAGACGAAAAAGGACATGGTAGAAGTAATAAGAAATGATTTAGGCACTAATAATTTAACAGTGGATATGACTTTAAATAGAACAGATTGATGAAACAAGATTTGTGTAGCCAACCCCATATAATTTGGAATAAGGCATGGATTATTATTATCATTATTATTAATGTTCTGTTAAATATGGATGCTTTAGGGGGTGTTTGATATCATAATTTTCTGTGATCTATGCAAATGATAAAAAAACTACCAATTTAAGGGGTTTAATATGAATTGTTGCTTAAATGATATCAAAGACATTTTTAATTCATTCCTAACTACATTATGTTGGATTTCTAGAGAGCTTAATTTGGTTGCTAGTTGATTATCTAGGGTTGTAGAGGGTAGACGTTTTAGTATACTGAATTACTGATAGCTCCATCCTATGTAGTTTCTACTAAAAAAAAAGTTGAATTCATAAGAATGCACAGACTGGCTGCTTTGTGGTGCAGATTGGTTAGTCTGGCTTGCCAATCAAATGTACTTGTAGAGCCATGATCTGAATTTTAAGCCCATTTGTTAAGTGGGATAGGCTTGGGCTACCTTGTTAGGTTTAATGGGTCGATGTAAGAAAATAAGGACTTATTTATTGGGCTAAGCTCGGTCTTTAACGCATTAATCCCTACCAGAAGTTTTTGCTTGGGCTTACTAAAGCAAATGCTGAAAATATCTCCTCAGCTAGGCATAAATTGGCTGCTGGTGTTGGTTGACAAAAACACAATAGAAATCTTCCTCACAGAGTGCTTCACACACCGAGCTCACAGTATGTGTCAGCCACACATCGGGAACATCTCCCGTACGTGTATGTTATTATTCATGGAAAATATTCCTAAAACACAGTGGGGTGTGGCTGTGAGGAGAAAATCCCAAGAGAGATGTCCTAGATGCACATCGAGCCATACTTGTATGTTATTATTCATGAGAGATGTTCCCAACAGACAGTAGGATGTGGCTGCGAGGTCGAATATTTTCTATATCAGATATGAATCTTTATGAGCCTTATGCAGAGCTCGCTCTCTCTCTCTCTCTCTCTCTCCAGCAGAACAAAAAACTTTGCAGCCCTGCCTTTCATGCCTCTGCCTGCACGATTTCCCCTTGGTTAACAAATAAACGTAATTATGAGGAAACAAAAAACAAGATTTCTGCATTTTTATTTTTTCATTTAGTAGATTTCTGCATAGCAAGCAAAGAAATGATGCAAACAAGCTCTTCTAAGTGACTACTGGTACACTTGTATAAATGTCAAATATATCAGGCTATATCTGAAAAAAGCTTTGGCACTATGATCCTGTAGCCTAACTTGTACAACCTACTACTATCTACTATCCCAAGAATTTCTCATTTAAAATCAAATAAGGCTATTTTTACCCTCACTTCTGAAATGAATAGGCCATGTTGTGGAGATTACCCAATAACTTCAGAAGCTCAAAGCAAGAGAAAGGGCTAAATTGAGTTTGCATTCTTATGAAAACATATAAATCAGAAATATTAAAACAGAGAACCATGAAGCTGGGAAACATAATGGTAAAATGAGAAGTTGGGACCTATATATTAAGAGTCTAAAGAGATCAAACCCTCATAAGACCAATGATGGCATCTAGCAATATACTTGCTGAAATTTTAATTTTAGTAAGAACTAAGAAGTGATTGTGTGTGTCAAGCATTGCTGTCTTCACCCATATATATCATTAAAGGAGCAAAATATGGAAGGTTCCATTAGGTTGTGGGAGCCTGCTCATTCATCATTTTAATTTGTTTGGTATATTAGTTTTGGTCTCCCAATATGAGGTAGTTGGATCTTTCCTTGTACTCTTTTACCCAATTCCTATATTATTTAAACCTGTTATTTGTGAAGGTGTCTTGTGACCTCAGGAGATGTGAACTAAAAATTCCAATTTATTAACAGAAAGATAGAAACTGTAAAACGAAACTTTCAAAATCACAGGTGAAATTTATTTTCAGATAAACAAATGGCTGATGGGGTTCCTCTTCACTGAAAACAGAACAAAAGGAGCAAAGTATGAACAAAATTGATAGTGGTTAAGAGTCCCTTCCTTCACCTTGGTCCTGACAGAACTGAGGGCAATAGCGGAGTGGAGCCTCCGAAATCGACCTCCTTGTGGGCTACTGTGGCTGCTGCTAGTGTTGGAATTGAGAAGTTGTAATCCAAATCAGGTTCAATATTCATTACCCCTTCTAAGACCTTCACCACCACAGACATGGATGGTCTTTTGGTAAAATCACTTTGTAAGCACCATGCAGCAATCCTCATCATTTCCATAGCTTCTTCTCCATGTAACTGCATATCCTCATTGTATCTGTCAATCATTTCAAATAGTTGTCCTTCCTCTGCCTTTCTTTGGATTAGACTAATTAAATGCATGCTATCCTCAGATTGAGAACGATCCAGATTTTTCCGTCCACAAACAATTTCCATGACTACAACCCCAAAGCTATATACATCAACTTTCTCTGTGATCATTGAGCTCAACCATTCAGGAGCCAAATAACCAGGAGTCCCTCTCATTGTGGTAACAACTTCACTCTGATCCCTGTCAATTAACTTTGATAACCCAAAATCAGAGACCTTAGCATTGAAGTTGTCATCTAAGAGGATATTTTGAGGTTTAATGTCCAAATGCAGTATTCTTTGTCTGCAATCTTCATGTAGATAGGCTAACCCCTTGGCTATGTCAAAGATGATCTTCCGTCTAGTTTTCCAATCAAGAGACTGTTCTTGGTTTCTGCAGAAGATCCATTTATCCAAAGAACCATTGGACATGAATTCATAAACTAAAAGCCTATGTGATTTCTCTGAACAAAATCCAATCAGTCTTACTAAATTGACATGGTGAATACTTCCTATTGTCTCAACCTCGGCTAAAAACGATTTCTTGACTTGACCCAAACCATCCAAGCATTTCACTGCAACTTTTGTGCCATTTCCCAGAGTCCCTTCAAAAACCGATCCAAATCCTCCTTCTCCAAGCTTCTTACAAAAATTCTCTGTTGCATCTTTGAGATCTTGATAAGAGAATCTCCTGGGCATTCCTGGTACTTGATGTAAATCATCCTCCTCATATTCCTCCTCATCGTTTTTCTTCCTATAAAGAATAATCAAGATGCAAACTACAATGAAAACAGAAAACAGAGCTGCAAGACTGGACCCTAATATTATTACAGTCTGGCTTGTTTTCTTTTCAAGAAGGGATGGGGTAGGAGAAACATCTGGTATCTGCACCTTAATGAATGCAGACGTATTATACTTATATTTGTTCTTATCATTGTCTATCAATGAAAAAAGTTTGGTTGGCAAAAAGCAACTACCTGCGGAAGCATTGGTATGATACAGAAACAAAGCAGCCTTGCAAGAACAGTTATTCAAGCATGCCTGCCTGCAATTCTCCAAACTCATTTCAGTTGTGTTTGCATCACCGACAAAAAAGATGAAGTAAGTTACATCCTTTAACTCTTGAAAACTGTGATTTTCAGAAGCTTCACAAGACAATGGAGTACTCTCGGAGCAGCCGAGATTCAGCTGCCGATCACTTAATTGCCTAAAATAGCTGTCGTTATTACCAGTTCCTATGGGACAACTGCACTGCCCAGTTGAGCAAATACCATAATTCCCACAAACCGTTGGGTAGCTACACTCTCCATCAGATAAATCTTTTGTCAGAAGATCGCCCACTTCCGTCCACCCTGAGGTCGAATTCCACTCGTAAACTCTCAGATGCCCATCTGACCCGAATTTAATGTACTGCATTGAGGTTGCTGGTTTCACAGGAATTGTATCATCAGGCTGGCGTGGCTCGGCTGACAATATGTAGAGAGAAAGACTTCCATTCAGGAATCTAACATAGCTCGGTCCTGCATCCAGTTTGGTGCCAGTTATCTTCTTCCTGTAGTAAATCTGCTGAGGAGGATCGGATTCAGCGAGAGCAAACAAACCATTACTAGTAACGAAAAGTGATAGGACACCTGTAGTCCAGTTCGAAGATGAGATGCTGGCTGTGAGCCTCTGCCCTTCTACTAGCGTCTGCCCAGGGACCAAACAGTCTGTTGGGTGTTCAAAAGACTGCCAGACGGCTTTATTGTTTCCATCGAAGAGCACGAGATTTCCCGTCTCCGTCATGTTTAAGCCCACGACAGAGTTGCCGGTGGTGTTCGTCGACCAAACTAAAGTGCCATCGACGTCTTTCAAGATCAAATCTCCATCTCCAGAGAGCTGCAAGGTGGCATTTTCTTTAACGGGATTGTCCCGATTGGCAGACCAGATTACTTGTGGGAATCCTGAACTAGGCCTCGTTATGCCACCTCCGCTATTGGTCTGAACGATGAAGATGGCAAAGAGGAAAGAATCACAAGTGCCGTTGCAGTAGAAGCCACAAGCAAATGATGGACCGAAGCCGGCTGGATTACTTCTAAGAAGAAGGGACCTCACCCGAGATCTATCTGTGAAATTAACATTATGGGAAAGGGAAGGGAGGTTATTGGTCCATAAGGTGGAGAGGTTGGCGATGGGATAATCGAAAGACTGGGCATTAGTAATTGAGTAAAAAGAAGTTGGAAGAACCAGAAGGTGATGACAAAGAACACAAAATAACATCCAGCTCAGACTCATTATCTGCACAGAGATAATATGATTCAAATGCTGCTACTAAATCCTTGCACTGAAGAGAGCCAGAACGAATGAAGAAAAAGGAAGAAGCAAAAAAACAGAGATGGAATGGGTCTTCAAATCTATACAGCTAACTAGCTGAGCCTGAAGTTTCGAATTAACGGGTAAACTTTCTATTAATTTTGATAACTTTTCTCAATAAGAAGTTGCAATAATCAACCAAATATAATGAAATCTAAATAAGGCAAATAAATCAGATGGAGAACCTTCTATTAACAGTTTTAGTTGTCAGATTAAACTATAATGCAATCTGATTATCTAGTCCAATTTGACGTGTATTTTAGTTTAATTGAACTAGTCCAATTTGATGGCTCTTAGTCCAATTTGATGGCTCTGACCTCACTGTAATTTAATATATACAGCTGGTAGATCCCACTTAAAATAATGAGTATGCTCAAGGCAGGCAGCTGACGTAGCCTTTTATTACAAGTGGGTTCTATTTAAAATGCCCCAAGATGCTGTTCATTGTTCATCATCTCTCAAATTCTGCTCAATTAAATGAGATAGATTCATCTCTTCCCCCTCCTGATGAATGAAAAAGAGGACCCAAAAGCATACCGATATCTGATACTTTTGTGTTATTCTCTCTTTCTTTTATCCTTCATAATTATGTTACGGTAATAGTTCAGCTTCTTTTATATGGTTCTTTCTAAATTTGTCTCCCAGTCCCTTAAGGCTGCATTTGGAAACAATGCAAATGGAGTATAAATCCTGGTCCAGGGTAAATTTGAATTCTGGTTCATTTTTGCATGTGTTTGGCAACATTACATTTCTGTATTGACAAATGATAGACCAATGCATATTTACATTGATAATAAGATGTAGAAGTACATCAATTAAAAAGAAATAAATTTGCATCCATTACAACTAAAAGTCTGATAAGAAAGTAAATTTGTCAGTATAAAACTAATCCAATTTTACAATTTATATGAACCATTTTACACTTTACATATTTGCATTATTTCTAAACTTGAAGAAAGGACAAACTTCTAATTCTGAAATTCTGATTGAGGAGGACCTGGAAGCATGCTAAAAAATTGGCGTCTGACCGATAAAGTCGATGAAATCTTTGTTGACAAAGGAAAGGGGGAGCTGGTTGAAGATTCGAGTATGATATGGCAAGACAAACAAGGCAACCTGGATCCGAACCCGAATCTAAAACTGAATATGGGAGAACTAGCAAAAGTGAAAGATGCTGAAATAAGTGGAGAGAAAAGGGGGAAGATAGAGATACAAGAAGGAAAAGTTGAAGAAATCACAAAGAAACGAAGGAAAGATCAAGATAATGAAAGGACAAGTTTAGACGGCATAGAGGTAGAGGTCCTTAGCTACTTCAGATGTGATATTGACCAACAAACTCTGGAAGCTTCCAACTGGATCTGGCCGTCGACTTGCGGACAGGTAATCTGAAACCAAAAAAATGATGTTTCTCTATTGTCGAGTTTTTTTACTGATCAGTCAATAGTTAAAATGAATAAATGCTCTTCTTTCCTTGGAACAAGAATTCCTTTGAGTCATACTAACATCGTAGACCAAAGAGGATGGATGTATTGGATCCAAAGAAAGGAGATTGGATGGAAAAAAAAAAAAGGTAAAAGGAAAAAAAAAGGAGAAAAAAACAACCCATCTTTGAAAATTCAAGAATGGGGGTTAAAATGCCAAATCAGTAGATGTGGGTATAGGAGACATAGAAAATTCAACTTTAAAGCTAAGTAGCCTTTATCGAGTTGGAAAGAATTTTTTTCCTATTACATGAATAAAGAAATCTTACGAAAATTGTCTAAGGAAAATAAGGCCACTAATAAAAAATAACACCCAAAGACTCCAAAGGCTGTTTGGGTTAAAGAAACACAAAATTCTAGGCTTGCAGGAGTTGACCCAAAACAACTCCCTCTGCGGAAATGAAAGCCCTCCCCTGGAATTGCCAAAGTGTGAAATCCCCCTTGACAGTTTGTTTAACAAAAGAGGCCCAAAGAAAAAGTAAAGCACAAATTGTTTTCCTCAGTGAAACTAAGTGTAGTCTCTTAGTGTGTAGGAATTTCACGTGTTGGAAGGATTGGAACTGTTGGGGTATAGACTCTAGGGGTTTGACAGGTGGTTTAGCCCTATTTTGGGAAGAAAGTCTAAACATTCAAGTGCTACTAGCAGATCAAAATCTAATTCATACCAGAAATGTGGAATCAAATAATAATAAAGAATGGTACTAGACATTCATATATGGAGAGACTGAAAGAGGTAAAAGAATGCAGTTTATAGGAAAAATAAATTTCTTAGCAACCAAAACTTCATGATCTTGGTGTTGCATTGGAGATTTTAATCAGTTATTTAGTTTGGATGATAAGGTCAGTGGAAAAATGATTAAAGTTAGTGAGATTAGAAGGAATAGGACTTTTATGCATAATTGGGGGCTAGAAGAGATCCAAAGCTTAGGCCCAAAATATACTTAGAATAATAGAAAGGACAAGGAAGAAAATGTTTAAGAAAAATTAGATAGGGGACTGAGTAACTTAGTGGAAAGAAAACTTCCCTAATGCCAAAGTCTTTGTTCTTACAAATCATGGATCGGATCACCTGCCAATTTGTTTGGACACTAACCCAATTAGTTTCAAAATCAGGAAATCTTTCAGATTTGAAGAAATGTGGCTTACCCATAAAAATTGTACAGAGGTTATAAAAGAAGTTTGGGCAAAGCAGCAAAATATCCAATATGAGTTCATGGTGTCAAAAACAAATATGAAAAATTAAGTAGAACCTTGAGGACTTGGAATAAAAAAGAATTCGGGAAAGTCCAACTTTGGATTGAAAAACTTAGAGGGGAGCTTACAATGGAAATGGAAAAAAAAGGATCAAACTATGATCAAGAAAATGTAGTAAAAATTGAAAAGCAATTAGATGAGTGGATTAGAAGGGAAGAGATTATGTGGGCCAAAAAATCTAGAGTAAATTGGCTTAAATTTGGTGATAGGAATACAAAGTTTTTCCATAATCAAACAATCAGAAAAAGAGCAAAAAACAGAATTCTAAAGTTGAAAAATGAAAATGGATATTGGATAGAGAGTCAAGAAAATATTAAATCCATTATAGAAAGCCATTTCCAGAAAATTTATACTTCTTTCTGTCCTATAGATATTGAGATGGCTTTGAAAGGAGTCCAGGCTCTAGTCAATGAGGAGAACAATGAAAACCTTGAGAAAGATGTTTCAGAAGAGGAGATTAAGGAAGCATTGTTCCAAATGGCTCCCAAAAAAGCCCTTGGACCTGATGGCTTCCCAAATTTCTTTTTCAAACCTTTTGGGAGGTAGTAAAGGAGGATGTGATAAAGGATGTGATGATGCTTTTTAACTCAGGTGGGATGAACATAAATCTTAATTCAACTTTTATAGCTCTAATCCCTAAGATTAAAAGTCCAAAAAATGCATCCCATTTTAGGCCAGTTAGTCTCTATAATACTGTTTACAAGATTATTACAAAAATTTTAGTAAACAGAATGAAACCCATTCTAAATGACATCATCTCAAAAAATCAAATTGCCTTTATACCAGGAAGGGCTATTTATGATAGCATCTTAATTGCCCATGAAGTAATGCACTACATGACTCATACGAAAGCCAAAAATCGCTTCATGGCAATTAAGTTGGGACTTTTTGAAGTTAACCATGGAGAAAATGGGCTTTGGTGGCAAATTTATTTCTTGGGTTATGAATTGTGTATCCACAATTACTTACCAACTATTAGTAAATGGTTTTCCATCAAAGAGAATCTATCATCAAAGAGGATTAAGACAAGGGAATCCCTATCTCCTTATCTTTTCCTTTTGTGCTCAAATGTATTTTCAACCATTATTAAACAAAAAGTGGCCCAAAAGGAATTTTCTGGAATTAAAATCTGTAAACTAGTTCCAACATTCTCTCACTTATTTTTTGCATGACAGTTATTTTTTCTCTAAGACAATTTTTAAGGAAGCTAGTGCTCTACTGGAAGTCATCTCCCTTTTTAAAAGGGCCTCCGAGCAACAGGTATAGCTACAGTAGCTACGGACATGAAAAACCATAGCTAAAGCATAGGCTATTGCTATGGACGTTAAATGGTTGTAGCTAAAACTTGATGCTTAGCTACGGTCATTTTGTCCAAAGCTAAATGTCTCCTTGCACGTGGCTAAAAGATAGCTATTATTACGAATATAAATGCCCATAGCTAAAATTAATTGCCTTAATTTTCTAACCGCAGTCCTCTTCATACCCGTTAGGATGGATCACATGCTAAAAAGTTATTGCCACAACCAATCTTCTACGATGACCGTAGTAGTAGATTGTTTAATTCTAGGTTGTGGCGCCTAAAATCCAATCTACTCTCCCCTAAAAATTTAAACCTAGTCTAGTGTTGAACTATCTTCTACTCCATTTCTATTCTTCCCTTCCACAAAAGCGACAATGTGAACAACAACAAGAATATCATATATATTTTTGCCATCTAGGGTTTTATCCCTTTTCTACAAGACCACAAGTTTGTCTGTGGTTAAGACTGAGATTTCTTTTTGCATAGAGTTTCACTGTGGAAAGTCTGCTATGATAGTGGATGGGTGGGAGCATGGAAAGAGGTTGAGATTGTTAAAGATGGATTCTCTAGGCTTCTAGGAGTTGGAACATCTGGTTTGATTCTACTATCAAATAGTTTGACTTTGAGCAAAATCCGGATGAACCCTGTGTTTATAGGAAGACCGGTGAGGATAATGTTACATTCTTAGTTTTGTATGTAGATGACATTCTACTCATTGGGAATGATGTAGGAATGTTAACTATGGTGAAAGTGTGGCTTTCACAGCAATTCTCCACGAAAGATCTTGGAGAAGCCACCTATATCTTGTGACTTCAACAGTATAGAGATAGATCGAAGAGGATAATAGGATTATCCCAATTTACTTATATTGACTAAATAGTCATGAGATACAATATGGAGAACTCCAATAAAGGAAATGTTCATTTCAGGCATTAAGTCACTCTCTCCAAGTAAATGTCTCCCAAGACACCTGAGGAGATTGAGGGCATGAAGGAAGTTCCCTATGCCTTTGCCATAGAGAGCATCATGTATGTCATGCTGTACACTCGGCTAGACATTGCTCAGGCCGTGAGTGTAGTAAGTAGATACCAATGTAACCCAGGACAAGAGCATTGGAC